AGTGGGAGTTCCTGTCAGCCCATGAGCTGATGCTATAGTGTCAGCCAATGGCCAAGATTCAATCTAAGACGATCTGACGGTTACAATCTTATTTTGTATTTGAATTTTTATTTTTTCCTACAAATCCAAATCACTTAAAATTTTAGGAGTTCATTCTTCTCATCAAGGTGCCCCTAATAAAAATATAAAAAATATAATTCGCAAAATATAAATTAACTAAAAAGCCCCCGAAATGTTTTGGGCCATTGGCAGACAAGATCTTTTCCCATATATATATATATATATACACTATGCAATGCCTATAGGTGAAAATGAACAGTATTTTTGCCGATAAGTGCTACACTGTCTGATTAAATCGGATGGCGTGAATAAACAACCACCACAGACATAACATGTCCGTGACGAGATTTTTTCACGCAAAAAAACGTAGGCAGCCGCCATGGCCCTTGTAGATCTGTGACAGTTTTTAAAGCAAAACCACCACTGACTAGGATGTTTGTGGCGGGACGAAATACTATTCAATTTCGCCTATAGGTGTTTTTAAGAGTTTTCCTAAAATTAAAAAATAATTTAAAAAATTAATCAATATAATTTGAAAATGAAAATATAAAATGTATGTTTTAAGTCTTTTATTTTCCAAGGATTTTTAAACCTCATTAGCGATACTTTTTTAACGTAATGTATGTTAAGCATTATTTATAGTTGCTTTGATATATTTATCCTTGAAAGATGTAAGCTGAAATATCTTAAAGAGCAATTTGTATTTAAAAATTAGAATATAAATTGTTTACATTTGAAAAAAAATTAAGTATTTTAAGTCTATGGGACTACACTAACATCTTAGTCCATGTGGGACCATATTTCTTTGATAAAGTACACAATAGAAAATATTAATACATGATAATTACATTATGAATAAAATAAAAAAAATATTACTTTTTATTTTGAACATATGACAAATGTCGTACCAAATTAAGTGCATTCATTTAATGTTGTTTGTCATGACCTCTTGGGAATCCCGTCATTTCTCATGGGTGAGTTGCCTCTTACGTCTTTTAGGAAATCTATTATATTTTAAAGTAAAAGTCACAATTGTGGTTGATGGCGTGGTGGTTAGTATTTTTAACACATGAGCAGGATGTCATGAGTTCAAAACCTTCGAACTACATATGAAGGAAGAATCATAAACCAAAAGAATTAGGACACAACATGTCCATAATCAAGGCTAGTGTTTCTGCTTTACTGTAAAACTTCTCCGCTATCGAGTACTACAGTACTGGAAGACATGGTTTACAAAACCGCATCTTCGAGAAATCAAACACGCCCTAAATGAAGGCACTTCTTTTGGTACAAACAACAATAAATGAAGGCACTTAAATTAGTATAATATTTGTCATATGGGATTAAAAAATCAAATGCAATATATTTTCATTTTATTCATATAACTTCATCATATATTAATATTCTATCTCATGTACTCTATCAAAGGAATATGGTCCTCCATGGAGTACGATGTTAGTATAGTCCCACCGACTTAAATACTTATTTTTCAAATGTAAATCGATTTACATTTTATTTTTTAAATACAAATTACTCTTTAAGAGATTTGAGCTTACATTTTTCAAGGATGACTCATCATAATCATCATCCAAGCCTTATCCCCACTATTTGGGGTCAGCCATCTTTCAAGGGTGAATAGAATATATAAATAAAAATCATCACCAATGAGATTTAAAAAGCTTTGGAAAATAAAAGAATTAAAACATACATTTTTATTTTGTTGTATATTTATATTTTCAAATTGAATATGTGATTTTTCAAATTCAATTTATTAATTTTTAAAATTCTTTTTAAGTTTTAGCTATTATTTTTTATTTTTTATATATAAAAAGTTGTACGGACATGTTGGGACCGTACTGGGCTTTTAAGCTGAAGTACTATACACCAAAGACACGTACTAGACACGACGCCCGACTCAGTGTCCACGTACCATTGAAGAAACACAATGTACCACTGAAGATCATCTCTCATGCACTTATGGGCTGCAAGTATTTACTTTTATCTTTTGTGACATAGTTCTTCATGCTGTCAATTATAAAATTTTAAATAAATCCAGAAAATAAGAAAATAATTTTGGCCTCAGTTTTTGAACCTCACTAAGAACACAATGCTTTGTTGATAAAACTAGAAAGCACATATTTAGGTTTAGACAAGCCAAATCAATATTGTTAACTTCACTTTGCCTTGGATGAATCACCAAAAGTCTTTGGGTCAGCCTCTTGCATGAAGTGAATCAAAGAGCAACTGAAAATTTCGGTTCACCTCTTCAAATTCTAAGAAAAAAGTTGAAAGTTGAAACGTATTGTATGTACTATGTTGTATTGAATATAATACATGTGTATTGAATGTAACACATTTGGGTAACAAACCTAAATTTTGAAAATTTTAGTACTCATTATAATTTTGTATCATAACAGTTCTGTATTTTCCATTAAAATATTGCTCGCAATAATTGTGACATTAATGGTAGCTTCATTTCAAAATATTTATTCAAAATATTGATTGCACTAATTGACATTTATGGTATTTTTACTTACAAACAAAAAGAACTTGTACGTATTTCAAGAGAAGACAGTAGTATGAGGAGAAAATTGTACTCTCCCTCTCTCCAAATGCATAAAAAGATAATAATTAAAATCAAACTTTTTAAGAGTACAAAAGTATATTAATTTTTAAAAAATTAATTTTATATTCTTTACTAAATTGATATTTTAATTTAAATTGTATAATTCTTTCTAATAGTATATTTATATTATTTAATTTTTTTATTAAATTGACCCACCTGCTAGATCCACCATGTGGGTCAAAGCTGGAGCCAGGTTGGGTCAAATTGCCAAGGGTTGACCTGACCCCTTTATCACTCATATGAACGAGAAGTCCAGGTAGTTGCAATGTTTCTCAAGGAAGTTAAATTATAGAATTAGTGATCAATATTTACCTCAAATTCTATCAGCTAGAGCTCATCATGGGATGAAGAAATCTCCCCTGTCCATAAAGTACAGTCACAAGTGTCAAATATATTGGTAAGAAACACTTCATTTTGTCAGCAAATAAGGAAAGTACAAATCAAAATCCAGATAATATTAGCACCATTCCATTTTGCGGTCTTTGATATTACCATATCTTGAGATTAGTTTCAAACATGACAAACAAAGAAATAAACTCTGAGTACTGTTGGAGATGGCCAATTTTGTGATCTTTGATATTACCATATCTTGAGATTAGTTTCAAACATGACAGACAAAACATAAACTCTGAGTACTGTTGGAGATGGCTAATCACAAAAACACTAATACGGAATCAAAAAAAATATTGAGGCTTCTCTCTTTAATACATAGAGGAGGTGTATCTTTTAGAATCAGCAGTAAATGATTGAGGGCTACGGATTTAGAACAAAATCATTTTTTCTTTTCAGTAGTTTGGTTTTGGTTTCTGAATTCATTCCATAGCATAAGTATCAAAACAACTCTTGATGGGTGGCCTACATGTGACTTATGATTCTAGTGGACATGTTATTGCCCATTGCTAGCAGCTGTTGACTTTACATCAACTCAAAACATCTCACAAGCTGAAGAAAAAAATGTGCTTTTCTTTCCCTCTACAGTTGAGGATTTAATTTGCATGCTGGGGTTAAACAATACTGAGAAGAAAGCACACATCTTAAAATACAGACGTGGGATGGACACACACGCACTCTCCCTTTTTTTTTGGGTAGGGGAAGATGACTCCTGATCATACTCCGAATAATTTGTTCTAACTGTTCAAATGGAACTGCAGGCCCAGTTTTTGTGAGGAAAAATCTACCTCGACTCCACAAATGTCAATTGTAAGTAAATAATTTAATTTTTTATTAAACTTGAAATATATAGTTCCATATACAACAAGAAATCCATATATCAAAAGATAAAATTGAGATAGCATATCTATTACCTTCTGATGAACCAATGGTCGTCTCCTGATCATAGCTTGAGTAGTTCGCCATGACTGTTTGAAAGGAACCCACGAATTAGATTTTGGTAGGGTAACCAAAATTAGATTTTTTTTAAAAAAAAGTGTAAACACAAATCCCGAGTGAATAACTTTAATAGCCCAAATGATGGGAAGAAATAAGAAACAAAAAACTAACCATATGTCTTCCCAAAGAAAAACTCAATTTCCCGAGCAGCAGAGTCGGGAGAGTCTGAACCATGAACACAGTTCCTTTCTTTATCATTGCCACACATAGCTCTGATGCTGAAATATAAACATTGGGGAGATAAGCACAATGTATATTAATCTTTAACAAAAAACCTATAATGAATAACACAAGTACCAAGTTCAGAAAATGCGTTGGTATATATCTGTACAAAATACAAAACAGAGAAGATAGCATCCCTTGTCAAATTAAGGTAGTGCCTGGGACTTGCTTCTAGCATCAGAAATGACCAAGATTCCAAGAAAGAACCCTATCTCCTTTCATGTACCAAATTGGTTCTAACTCCTGCTGCAAATGATTGAAGCAACCATTATAGATTCCAAGAAAACAGAGAAGATAGCATCCCTTGTCAAATTAAGGTAGTGCCTGGGACTTGCTTCTGACATCAGAAATGACCAAGATTCCAAGAAAGAACCCAATCTCCTTTCATGTAGCAAATTGTTCTAACTCCTGCTGCAAATGATTGAAGCAACCATTATAGATGTAAATGGTTCAGGTTCATACTTCTTGAACCTCTACAACTGATTGTCTATAGCAATAGATTTTAGCCATTGGGTAAAATGTTTGTCTCGAGTGGTGAAATCACCATGTCGTTGTGCTCAACGGACAAGCACAAGCAAACGAACACCATGGACCTTTCATCCAATATTTTCTCACACAGACGATAATCAAAAGACACCAAGAAAAGGAGTGATGATAAGAACTTGGCAGAAGCCTGCACTGGAATTTCAAAATTGGGCCACAGCCTCAAACTTCAGGTGGCTAAGCATCAATTTTTCACTTTGAAGGGCCTTCTCTTCGATTAGAAGTATAATTAAAATACAGAATATCTATAAACAATTCAAGATAAATTTTTCACGTATCAAAAGCTTCTCTAATTAAGGGAATGTTAGCGGTGGCCTCAACAATTTTTCACTTTGAAGGGCCTTCTCTCTGATTACAAGTATAATTAAATTACAGGGATATCTATAAACAATTCAAAATAAAATTTTCACACATCAAAAGCTTCTCTGATTAAGGGGAATGTTATCAGTGGCCTCACCATTAATGGAAAGAGTAGCAATGAATCGAGCACTTCAGAGCAATTGAAGTCCACTGATGAGGACAAGACTGCTTATCAGTTCCCCAAGAAATTAATTTTCCATCAAATGCAATTGGAAGAGGGTTTAAAATGCATAAAATAGGGTTGCCTTCGTTATTGTGGAATGATTAACAGGGTTATCTCCAGAAATGCTTTTCATGTGTCAAGGTCTAAATATCAAATAATACAAAAAAATATCAGTAGTGCAAGACTAATAGCCAATCTTGCTATTTCCTACACAATTGCTAGAAAATACTTGTTATGCACAGTAGGTACCCAAAATATTCACGCATGATGTCATTTGGGTTTTGAATACATTCAGGAGAACTTAGGTGTGGCTCCGATTAGATAAGATGAAAGAAAGCAGACTGAGATGGGCTGGCCATGTGCAATGCAGACTCAGTACAACACTTGTTACGAGGTGTGAACTGGTTCAAGTGGAAGGCTCAAAAAGGGCAAAGGCGAGGCCCAAAAGGATATGGTTGGAAGTAGTGAGAAAATATATAGCGACTTATGGCCTCACTGAGGGTATGGCCCTTGACAGAGCAAGATTTGTACAACGGACCTCAAATAGTTGGGAAAAGGCTCTGAGCATGATGATGACGATGATGTCATTTGGGCTTCATTGTAGCACAATGTCCATAGTATTAAAAAATAGACGATAAATAACAAAGTATACTCCTTAAACTTTACATTGATAGAATAAGTGCTTGAAAACTTGTGCAAGTGCACTCAGACTCCAACGAATGGCTCAAGCTTGGCAGGGTCCCGATCCCAGAACCATACACATGGGAACTGGTAGACTTTGGCCAGTTCCCATTATTTATTTTTAAATTGATGACAAAAGTTTATTGATATGGAAAGGAAGGCCCATGGATGGAAGTAGAAAGAAACGATATGATGACTTATGGTCTGACTACATTATGGTCCTTGATAGATCGAAATGGCAAACATGATTCTTGTAGCCGACATGAAATAGGTGGGATAACATTTGGATGATGATGATAATCTTGGATGGACTCCGTGTGAGTCTGACAAACTCAGCCGAGTCTGTTACACTGACATGACTCGGACTTGGGACCCTTCCGTGATCCAACTGAGTTTGCATGTTCTAGCAATGGATAGAATTAAACAATATTTGCTCAGAGGAGAAAATCTCATGTACAGAAAATACATTTCATCTCCTGTAATTACAACCTAATGAATAATGATATATAAACACCCAAAAATAAGTAATGCTATAAAAGAGGACAAAAAACATAGTTTGATATATTCCAATAGCAATAATCCTAAATATGGAGAACTGTACCTTGAGGGATGAGATTTCTTTGCTTCTGATGCATCAGTTGGTCCAATCAAAGCACGCCACTCAGCAATGGCATTAGGTTTCTCCAGAACCATGATTACCACTGGACCACTGTATGCTATGCAAGTCAATAAGGGTAACAAGAATTGAGTAATGAAGCCCCTAGTCAATTCAAGTAAGACCAAACAAATACAACAGCAAATAAAAGATTGAAGCATGCACATCAATTCTTTTGTCAAAAGCCAAGTCTTTCAAATGGCTACTCCTTATCAATTTTCAACTGAAAAGTGGAGAACAAGCCTGAGCTAAAGCAGTTTGTGAACCAACAGAATCAATTTTTTTTTACAGTCACACAAGTTTATGGTCACAGTAAATACAGAAATTAAAACTCCATTTTAAATCATTCCAGTTTGGATCAAGTCCTGAAGATGACTTCATTAGTCTGTTGAACATAAAAAACCAGTGAAAAGCCTAGCGTTCTTTTTTTATGTTCTGTGACTCAATAACTGGTCATATAAATTGACAATCTAGCAGAAGCTACTATAACCATATATGGAGGATGCCTGAAACTGAACCTGAGAAAAAATCGAATCTCAATCGCTTAAGCCTTTCTAGGACCCCAAAAAAAACAAAAAAAACAAAAAACGAAAACAAAAACACCCCCAAAAAAGGGAATAAAAAGAAAATTAGTTTTTGGCAACTTTGAACAACAATCACTATGTTTAGTACCACTAGGTGTAAGTGCAAATATATAACACTAAAATAAAACCAGTGCAGAAGGAACGGTTATATCCATAGTTAGCAAAACCAGAATACAGTTTTCTTGCACGTACATCTAAAACTGGGCCTTCCCTATCATGCTAATATCCAGCTAAAACAGGGAAAGCACTTTTTCTATTATAAAACATACAACAGACGAGAGTGTGAGCTTGCATCAACTATATATCAAATCCCATAGTCTAAAAAGTCTAAAGAGTCAGACAAATGCTTAAATTTAATGAAAATCACTAATGTGATCCTTTTTTTTTTTTGGGCAAGTACTAATGTGATCCTTTAACTTATCAAAAATCATAAAACCAGTCATCAACAGAAAACAGAGACTTTTTGCGTCCTTACCTTTTAGCATGAAATTTACAGGACATCAACCTTTGCAAGCCATTGCTCGCATTGAACATTATAATCCTATTTTTAACATCAAATAATTAGCTGATCTAGACTTCAGCAAGCAATTAAACCCAAATCTTACTTTCATGACATCAAACATAGCAAGCAAACATGAACCATAAAAACTAAGCCAAGAAACGAAAGAAAAGGAACCAGATAGATCAACCTACAATATATAAGGATCATTCACCATGGTGTTTATTCGAGCAAGCTCATCCATGGTTCCATTTACAATACAGCAAATTTTTTTCTTCAAACAAATGATAAACTACAAAAATCCAAGAAATAAACAAGATGCAACACATTGCCAGTTAAAAAAAGGAGTACCTGGTCATGTACTTGATGAGGTTAGGGAAAAATATCCTATTTTGATGCTCAACGTAGAAGTTGGTTGCTTGGCTCTCATTAAGCTGAGTACTCTTCATTGTAATGACTTTGAAACCAGAATCAATAATAACAGTGTGAATTATATTATTGTAACCACCAGAAACACCATCTGGCTTTATAATTGCAAGAGTTCTCCCTGGTTTAGGCTCTGTGTCGCATGAAGTTCTGTTAAAAAAGTAGTTAAACAAAGATGAATATCGGAATATCCATTGTCCACAGTATTGAAATAATTAAAACAGTCCAAGAAGATAAATTTTACATTTCAGCCAGAACTTGTCCTGGAAAGGAAAGACCTCTTTAGAAACTATTGTTTTTTCGTTAAACTTAAGAAACTACAAGAACTTGGCCATTGAATGAGAGTTTCGGAGATTTCAGCAAAGAGATCAAGAGAGCATCCGCTTGGAAACAGTTAACAGAAGCCAAGTGTCCATTATCTCAAAAGGATTAAGAGAATTTTGATCTCTGAAACAATAAAATCTCCAAAAAACTGTGAAACTTAGTTGCGAATGAGTTGCCGAGACTGCAGAAGAAATATCATATTAGTACCAGTCACAACACATTTAGCGTAGGGAGAATCCCCATGATCTGTAAAGAATTACAATAGTTTCAGTTTATAAATTGGAAATCAAAACCACAAATTTCGCCAGAAACGATAAACCCTCAATAAAAAACCATGAGATTTACTCCATCACAAAATAGCCACAGAGGTCGATATAAAACAGAGGAATATGAATTAGGTTATGAAAAAATGATGTATGGGATCAAAATTTGATCCCAGAAAGGAGGAAAAATAGGAAGCAACTATAAGATTTTAGCTGCGAAAAAGTTGCAGAGAATGCAAAAAAGAAGAAACCATGAGATAAATTATGGTTAGGGAACGAATTAGGGTTTGGTTTTTACCGGTTGATTAGAGTCAGAGTGCTAGCAGTAATGAAAAGAAGGATTCGGAGGGATTGCCCCCGCATTGTTGAAACTTGAAACGGATAAAAGAGATAAACACAAAGAAATACACTGGTATTTGAGGGAGCGAAATATATGCATTTATGGCGCCAATTGTTTTTCGGAAACTTACAGGGCGACTATATTTATTTTTAAAATTTCAAAATAGTGTCCAAGATATTTTATATTTTATAATGAAGTCACTGAGCATCAAGTGTGAGTAAGGGTGTTTAATGGACCGGGCTTCCACGCAAACAGTAGCTATCGGGTCGGGCCTGCCCGGAGAAGTCTTTTTGCCCATAGGGTCAGACCCATTTAGCAAGTATGTGGGGCTCCACAAATTCACCATTCCAACCATCCCCATTTAGAGAGGAGAGAGAATCATTTATCATAAATTATGGAAGTGAGGGATATCATAAAATGAAGGTAATTGTGGTGTTCTTACCTATTGTCTCTCGACAAAACCATTTTCAATGAATGAGTGACAAAAGGGGTCTAAATTAGGCACCCTCCAAAGGAGAAACAAATTAGCTTTTGGGGAATAATAGAAAGAAAAAGTTTACATAAGGTTGTAAACTTAAATTTAGAATTAAGTACATGTAAAAAATCCATCATCTACTGTTGTTTTTCTGTTGGAAAACCCTCTAATTGATCATCTCAACATCGAGATGTATGAATATGAAAAGAAAAAAAAAGATTTCAGTTCTATAAAATAGTGTATCTATCTCGACCATCCATTTTCAATATTTTCATGTGCTTATGGATCCACTTGATTTGAACCATTTTTTAATTTTACAATTTTTGTAATCAAAATAAATTCTCCAGCATCTTAAAAAAATTTTACATCAAAATTACATTTATAATAATATTTGGAGTCACGCTTTAATTTGATTGTTTAATATTGCAACTTTCAAACCACACCCATAATAAAATGGCATAGAAAATAAATAATTTTTTGAAGGGACAAGGCATCTCTCTAACCCTTTCTCTCTAATAAAGAAACAAAGGCGGTGGTTTTGGTAAGTAAGCCGACTCACCTATTACCACGTGGTTCCTAATCTATCCAACGTCTATCTCTATGTTGGATCTCAAAAACTGTTATATCCACTAATAAAAAAAGAATTCAAAAAATAATATTTATATTTTTTAAAAAAGAAAATTTTAAATTTTGATCATTGTCATGGTTGAGATTATTGAACTCGAAATTTTGAATAAAAAATACATCATTTGGGATAAGGTGCACCTACCAAACACTTTTAAAAGGAAAAAGTTTATATAAGTTATCAACCTTATACTATACAAATAAGGTGCACATAAAAAACACACTAGAGTAGGTCGTTTATATGCTGGAAAACCCTCTAATCGGTCATCTTGACCTCAAAATTCATAGATATGAAATAAAAAAAGGGATTTCTAAATCTAAAAATAGCTTATCTTCAAACGTATTATCTGGATCATTCATTTTCAAGATTTTCAAGTGTGTACTGATATGCTTGATCATCACCATTTCTAGAATTTTAAATTTTATAATTAGGGCTAATAATAGATTGTCATATCATCACAAGGTTTTTTTTTTGGGTAAGTCAGTAGAGGAGAAAGCCCCCTACCTGAATTTTTCATTAATAGGGAAAAAAAAAAAAGAACACATTATTTTACAACTCTATAATACGGCAGTTGTGTCAAATCATATAATAATAGAAGATAAAGAAAGTCTGGCGGACAACGACACCAAATTGTTGCACCTGCAAAAGCCGATGCTTCCTTAGCTACAGCAACTACCATATTCACATCGCGAAAAACATGAGCAATAGTCCACATATGTTTCGAGAGCCTTGAACGAAAATTGTCAACTATCGTTCATAATTTCCATGAGGCACTGCAAAGATCCTGAATAATATCTACTAGTAAAAATGAATCACTTTCCATCTATATCAGAAAGCAACCCATCTGGATAACTAAGAGAATACATTCCTCAAGAGCTTGAAATTCTGCATAATTATTAGACGCAACTCCAAAGTATTTAGCGAACGCTGCCACAAATCTACTATTGCTATCTCTTATGACCCCACCCCCTCCTACGAAACCAGGATTGTGTAAGGACACACCATCAATATTCAACTTATAACACTGAACCTCAGGAAATGACCATGTAATTGGGATCGAGGATTTTGACTTCTGCTGGCGCCAATTGATCTGTAAGTTTTCAATAACCACATTTTTTGACAAATGGAAGAGCCATTTTTTAACTTATGCTAAAGCCTTGACATGTGTAGTAATACGAATTACAACCTACTCCCACCTTAGAGCGTTAGATCTAAAAGTCGTATGTTCCGCTCCTACAGATACCAAATTGTTGTGAAAAAAATAGTCGTCCAGTTGTCAAGTAACCCATGTGATTTGAATTTGAAGGCTAACCACCAATGAAGAATATCTAGGACCGTAATACGAGGCACATATCTCTTGCCACATCGTCAAGCTAAATATAGCCAAACAGCTAGTGAAAAAGGACACTAAAACAAAAGGTGACATAGATTGTCCTCCTTGTTTCTACAAAAAGGGCAAATAGTAGCCATGTGTATACCTCGCTGCTAAAATATGGATAAATTCAGTAACCGATTATGCATAGCTACTAACTATGAAAACCACTTGGCCCGAGGGTGACATTTTGAAGACCAAATAGCACGAAATATGAGTTGAGATGATCTTCTATATCGAATGAAGTTCCATGCTGATTTAATTGAGAAAGCTCCATTGGTAGAATGAGTCCATATCAATGAATCATCCTTAGACAGCAAGGGAAGAGTATATAGCTCCACCTCACCCCATATAGTAAGTAGTAAAGTTGAAGGATGTGAAGGCAATGTCCATAATTGTGGGTTACCATTAATAAACTCTAAAAACTTTCACCTTTCAAGTTCCTTCAAATCCATTTGTTCATGTGCATCTAAAGAATCCCATATTGACTACACTGATTGCCAAGTATCTATCAAGAAATCCACCGTCTGCGCAATCCTAATACACCACTGGACATTATCCCTTAGCTGTGATAAATCGATATAAATGCCCATCCAAGCATGAGAACAACCCTTTTTAGCTACAGAATCCCAAATGGAACACAATCTGAAATACTTGTGTTTGAAGAATTGGGCAACTAAAGAAGATAGATTTGCTAAAATCATCCATGTCAGTTTCATCATACCTGCAATATTGAAGTCTATCATTTACCTCACACCCAGGCCCCCCTCCTCCAGAGGGAAGCAAATTGTCTTCCACTTAACAAGATGAACCCCTTATTTTCTACAACTTTTGCCCATAAAAAGTTTCTCTGAAGCCTCTCTATCTTGTTAGAGGTTTTCTTTGGTAGCATAAAATATAGTATCCAGAAAATAGCCGAAGTATTGTGGACTAACTTAAGCAGCTGAAGACATCCTGCATAAGATAAACATAAAGCTTGCCATGTACCTATCCTACCAATCACCTTTCCAAGCAGGCTTTTGACAATAACTATGCCCGAGATGGCCATGAAATAGAGGTAGTCCCAAATAACGCATCGGCAAGGAAACCTCACTGAACCCCAGCTTTCTCAAGATCCCCGCTCGACTGCCATGTGGAACCCTAAAGAAGAAAACCTTGTTCTTCGTAGAGTTACCATTTGACCAGTAGTATTATCAAAATTAATGATAATTGTCTTTATTACAGAGGCAGATGCATAAGATGCCCCGTAAAAAATTACGGCATCATCAGCATAAAATGAGTGAGAAATCCCATAGTCACACCCAAAGGGGAAGGCTCTGGGTATCAATCCATGCAACATAGCCTGGTCCAATTACCTACGAAAGAAATCCATGACTAGAAAAAATAAGTAGGGGGATAAAAGATCTCCTTGTCTCAGACCTCTTATTTCGTTGAAAAAACCTTAAGGAGAACAAAAAAAAAGTAGTCGAAATATATAGATAAATCCATGAAATAAATAGGTTTGGGAAACCCAAAGCTTCACAAATAAATTCCCAGGAAATTCTATCATATATACTACTCAGATCAATTTGCATACACATTTTAGGACGAGTTGAATTCTTATAGCAAAGAGATATAATCTCATTTGCCATTAGAATATTATCTGAAATGATCATACCCTTCAAAAAAGCAGCGTACCTAGGGCCAATGATGTCCTCAAGGACAACTCTAAGACGGCTTGAGATTATTTTACCGATAATCTTATAAAAGACATTACACAAACCAATAGGTCTAAAATCCTTCATAACAGATGGGTCATCTACCTTAGGAATCAAACATATAAAAGTAGAAACAATCTGCTTTAGAATCTTACCTTTACCAAAAAAGTCCTTAAAGGTTATGTACAGGTCTTTATTAATGATCTCCCAATAGAATTTATAAAATTCTGCTGAGAAACTATCCAATCTTAAAGCACTCTCACTTTTTATGCCGCGATAATGGCTTTAATTCCCTCCATAAGGTTTTGCAGCAGCATAACTACATTTTCGGCATGCTTTTGCGGTGCATCTTCCTTCAATACTCTAAGATTAAACACCTTATAGAAACTTCAACCCTTAAATAAAAAAAAAAGAAAAAAGCAAAGCTGGGAAGAATTTCCAAATTTAAATGGTAGGATACAAAAGCGTAAATGTTGCAGTTGTGTGTTTTACTGCCACGTGGCGAGCAAATAAGAATCACCTCAGACGTGGCATCAAAATAAAAGGAACACGTGGCATCAGCGTAGGTGGTGTGTTCTGAGTCCTACACTTTGACTTGCAAGAGTTTTGGGGTTTTCAGCGTCAAGGAGAGAGGGCTAAAAAGCTCCTCAATTTTTCTGGTAATACTTCCTTACTCATTTATTTGATAATTTTTATCCTTAATTGATTTTGTCTAACGATATAAAATCCGATTTAGTTGCTTGCTAATTAAACTTTGAATGATTTATTTGTTTATTTTCTTTTTGCAAAGTGATCATCTGTGAGTTTTCTTATGTTTTTATACTGAGTAATGTTCTGATTGCTTCATAAATTTGAGCTTTGCTGTGTTTTTTAATTGTCGTCACTCTCGTGGGAAAAGCTCTGATTATAACGATGATGACGACAGACGACACGACTCTGATCAGCACATGCGTGTAAACCAAGAGCCATCTCTCTAGTTTTGGTACACAGTGTGGATTACACACTTTCTCTCTCCTATCAGGAACACAGACTTTGTTATTCTCTCTCTTTCTCACAGGAATACAACCTTTGCTATCAGTACTCTCTCTCTCTCTCTCTCTAAAATAGGTTGCACTTCTATTCGTCTTTTCTCTCTCTTAAATTCAGTTGAAGTAATTGTCTGCATAGCTTTTGTGCACTGAGGTGTCGTGGTGTAGTTGGTTATCACGTCAGTCTAACACACTGAAGGTCTCCGGTTCGAGTCCGGGCGATGCCATTTTTGGACCCCCCCATCTAGAA